GAAGGGTGCAACAATGAATGAATGGAATCCCAAAATCTCTGTAGATGTTCATTGAAATGAAAAATAAACAACCTAAATTTAAAAAAAAAACAACAAAACAACAACAACAACAACAGCAATCTATGAAATTTTATCTTCAAAACCCAGTTTGAAATTTGGCAATTCAGACAGAAGAAGAATTAATACCTTTGATTTGTCTTGGAGAAAGTACTGAATATCCCATGGACTTCCTAAAGAACAAACAGATATGTCTCAGGGAAAGTACAGCCAGTGTTCCTTAGAGGCAAAGATGATGAAGTTTTGTTTCTCATACTTTGGGCATGTTGTTAGGAGAGTTTATTCCTTGAAGAGGGACATCATGCTTGGAAAGGTAGAGAGTCAATGAAGGAGAAGCCCCTCAACCAGATGAATTCATACCATGACTACAGCAATGGGCTCAAATATGTCAGAAATTATGAGAATGCATCAGGATAAGACAGAGTTCAGATCTGTTGTTTTTAGGGCCACTGTGAGTTGTGCTTGACCTGATGGCACCTAACAATAACAGCAATTGAAATTGTTTATCAATTGTATAATGATCTGTACAGTCAAATGCTTTTGTGTGTAGTGTATAAAACAAAAGTAAACATCTTTCTGGTAGGCTCTGCTTTCCTGCTAACATCCATTTGACAGTCAACAGTGATAACCCTAGTGTGACAACCTTTTAGTCCCAGCTTGTATTTCTGGCATTTCTTGTCGATTCCAGCCATTTTACAATAATCTCCAAGAAGCAGTTATTCAAATAGAGCAAGAGAATATTACATGGTTTAAAATCAACCAAAGTGTGTGAGGGTTGTATCCTTTCCCAATTCTATCCAGTTTGCCTGCTGAGTAAATAATTAAAGAATCTGGAACGTGTCATCAGGACTGGATCAAGAATCACCACCTATGTTATGCAGATGATACAACCTTGCTAGCAGAAAATGAAGAATAATGGAAACACTTACTGAAGAAAAGACTATATAGCCTTCAAAACACCAAAACACCAAAACCAAAAAACCAACAAAAGCTCTTACCATTAGATTAAGAGGCAACATCATAACAGATGGATTAAAGATTGAAATTCTCAACAATTTCATTTTACTGGTTTCATGATCAATATGAGGTAGCAGCAACCAAGAAATCAGAAGATGTATTGCACTGGGGAAATCTACTGTCAACGACCTCTCCAAAGTATTTAAGAGCAAGGATTTCAGTTTAAAGACTAAGGTGCACCTGACCCAACCCATGATCTTTTCAATTGCTTTGTATAGACATGAAAGTTGGGCCATGAGTTAGGAAAATGGAAGAATACTGATGCCTCTGAATTATGATGTTGAAGAAGAGTATTGAATATCCCATGGTCTGCCAAAAAAGCAAATAAATCTGTCTTGGGAAGTGCGACCAGGGTGCTCCTTAGAGGCAAGGATGGTGAAACTTCATCTCACAGACTGTAGACATGTAATCAGGACAGGCCAGTCAGTAGGAAGGGCCATGATACTGGGAAAGTTAGGGAATCAATAAAAGAGAGGAAGACCCTCAGTGAGATGGATTGAAACAGTGACTGCAGAAATGGGTTTAAGCCTGACTATGATAGTGAGGATGGTATACGGTAGGGCAAGGTAGGGTTCAGACAGGTTGTTTATAGAGTCGCCATGAGTGGTGGAGCTGACAGCACCTGAAAAGAACACATGAAGTGATGAGAAAAAAAATTGGAGTTCAAATTATTTTAAACTACTTTGTTCAAAATTGGGAAGGGTGTACTCCAGGGATGTGTCCTGTCTCCATACCTTTTCAACCTGTATGCAGAACAGATCATCCGAGACGCTGGGCTCTATGAGAAGAAATGTGGCATCAAGATTGGTGGACGATCTATCAACAATCTGCGATATGCAGATGACACAACCCTGCTTGCTGAAACTGAGGAGGACCTGAAACGCTTGCTGCAGAAGGTCAAGGACTGCAGCCTTCAATATGGATTGAGGCTCAATGTCAAGAAGACAAAGTTTCTCACGTCTGGGCCAATTGGCAGCATCACGATGGATGGTGAAGAGATTGAGATTGTTCACAGCTTTAGTTGGCTTGGCTCCACAGTCAACACTATTGGCACCAGTAGCCAGGAAATGAAAAGACGTATTGCAATGGGAAAGTCTGCTGTTAGAGACCCCTCCAAAGTTCTGAAGAGCAATGGTGTCTCTCTGGAGAATAAGGTGTGTCTGATACAGGCCATGGTCTTCACAATCACTTATTGTGCATCAGAGAGTTGGACAATGACTAGGGAGGGTAGAAGGAGAATTGATGCCTTTGAGCTGTGGTGCTGGAGAGGAGTATTCAGGGTACCATGGACTGCTAGGAAAACAAACAGATTCAGCCTGGAGAGGGTTAAACCGGGCTGCTCCTTGGAGGCAAGGATTCCGGGACTTCGTCTAACATATTTTGCACATGTTGTAAGGAGGGACCGGTCCTTGGAGAGGGACATCATGATTGGTAGGGTG